GCTCTTAACAGTGATGAATTTAAGAGTCCCTTTTGATCCGGACTTTGTTTCTGAAGTCTGCCTCTCTCTCCTTAGTGGTCAGTTCACATTTAGCAGTCTTGTAATTACAGATATGAATGAGAGAGAAAAAGAAGGCATCTACTAGGTTTTTCCAGTGTTCTGGCTTAAGCAGCAGTGATATTAAAACAATCTCTAGCTCTTCAAAGAGTGGCCCTGTCAACTTGCTGAAATGATGGAACGGTAGTTAGGTTATTAGAAGGAAAATTGGCACAAATTGAGAGAGAGGATGCTCTGGCAGCAACCACGAGCAGCCAGCAACTCAGTGGCTTAATCTCTGCCCTCAGGCTGCTCTCTACGATACAGATGACACCTTGTCAGTGAAGATGATGTGCTGGGTCACCCCTGAGTCCAATGGGCTAAATTGGCCATGGAGGGAAGGATTGCTGTGGTGTAGAGACAGCAAGCCACATAATAATTTTTTTTTTTTTTTTTAACATATGTCATCATTTGGCTACTGACAGTAATTGTCAAGGGATCCCATTCTCATTAGTGTCCCCTAGACACAACTATCTCTGTACACTCATGCTTTCAAGAAATAGTCCTAAGCTTTCACAACGATTGTTTTGCCTCCTCTTGGAAAGTTTCACGCATGGTTTCTGTTTTGCCTTGTTATTTCTTGGGTACAGCAGGAGGGGAAGATGCAGGAAGGAAGGAGCCTCTTCCTCTGAGAGTCATTGTGTTGGCAAAGAGAAGTAACAAAAACCCCCTGCAGCTGTTGGCAACTAAGAGGTCTTAGTGCAGAGCAGTAACATCCATTGGGTGAATATGAAGGTTGAGAGGGGATAAGGGTATTCATCTTTAGTAGAGATTATTTGCAAGGGATCAAGAATATTTGGTTGGATTTTGTATTGACCCAACAATCTCTGTGACAATTGAACCATCAGGGAGGAATGCTGTATAGTTGTATTCTCCAGTGGAACCTTACATTACACTGCAGGGACCAGATCCATAGAATCTATAAAATTGGGGTTTTTTTTTCATTGTTACCTTTCTGTTGCTTTATTTGTTTGTTCGGTTTATCTGCATTGGTTGTAGTCCTATGGCCACTGCCAAAGCTGGGTGAGGATGTTACTACAAGTGCCATTGCTTCAACAGTGATGATGTGCTCCTCCAAACTCCAACAGTGAGAGTCTGATCCCTCTTCTGAGGTGCTCAAGAGCCTTAGTTTGCACTGAAGTCAAAGGAAATGCCATTTAGAGAGAAGCCCAGCTGTGCTTGTAGAAATGACTGCCCTCTCTGCAGGCTGAACTTGCCTATCAACCCTCCAAAATGTTGGCAGCTCATTGAAACCCCTAACTTGTGGTAGAAAAAAGATTTTTTCCCTAAATCTGAAGGAGTTAGTGGATTGGCAGAGCTGTCAGTGGATGGTGGAATTTAGACAGGAAAAGTTTTAATGACTTACCCAAGTTAATTCAGGCAATGGGTGACAAAACCTGTCCCCCAGAGCTTTGCATCACAGCATATGGTAGCCTATGCCTGGAGTCAGAGCCTTTAACCATCTTTATCCAATAAACCACTGAAGGGATATGATCAACGTAATTCAACTTCAGTTCCACCAAAGTAAAGAAAGAGCTTAACTGTTTCTGGAATTAGAAGAGATCTTGGTCTGTGCCTAAAACTTTAGCTCAAATTAGGAACTTGAAGCTAATGGGGTCATTAACCTGAGAAAACAGGTAGAAGTGTTCAGTCTTGTGGTTTCCTAAAAATTGGCTTGTTATCAGTAGAAATTGCAGTGCTCTTGGTGGTAAATGTGGTTTGGAAAAAAAAAACAAAAACAAAAAAACAAAACAAAACAAAACACAAAGGAATAAACTGGTTATTCTGTATTCATTATGACCTTTGCTGTAGTTTGGGGCTAAAATAGCGATTGTGTGTGGATTTCTTAAAGAAGGGATCCAACAGAGAATAGATGAAGGACTGTCGTGGTTTGAGCCTGGTCGGCCTGTGGCTTCCACCTAGTTGATCAAGGTGCTGTGCCCGAAGAAGGCTGGGGTCTTGTGGGAAAAGGTAGCCCTGCTGCTGTAATTCAGCAATGGGAGGATTGCAGCATGAGGGGGTGTCCCACGCCGGAGCAGCTCGGGAAGGGCTGCAGCCGTGGGAGTGAATCCAGTCGGAGAAAATTAGTGACCCATGACGGAGCAGTGTGGGGAACGCTGCGGCCCATGGGAGGGACTCATGTCGGAGAAAGTTTGTGGAGGACTGTCTCTGGTGAGAGGGGGACCGCAATGGAGCAGGGGGAAGAAGTTCCAGAAGCTCCCTCCACCAAAGATAAAGGAAGTGGCAGCACTGACTGCACCCCCCCATTCCCTGCCCCTGCGCTGCTGGGGGAGGAGGTAGAGATATTGGGAGCAGAGCTGAGCCCGGGAAGAAGGGAGAGGTTGGGGGGAAGGTGTTCTCAAGATGTGTCAATGTTTTTCACTGTCCTACTCTGTTAAGTGTTGTTAGTGTGTGTAATAAATGTATGTTCTTTTTTTCTTCCCCTAACGAGTCTGCCTCTTGCTCGTGACCATAAAGGGGGATTTTTTTTCCCATCCCAGTCCTGTCTCTAACCCTAAGCCTAACTCTCTGTCCCTTCTTATTAGCAGAAGAGAAGGTAGAGAGAGTGGCTGTGTGGTGGTTGGCTGCCGACCAGGCTTAAACCACGACAAGGACATAATCTAAAAATGAAGTAAATTCATTTTTTTTCATGTAAATAGCATAGAGAACAAATGAAGCAAAAAGGAAAGCCAATTTCTGAAAGAAAATGGTTGACTGAGACCAGGGCAAATCTGGGGACTGCACAGCTAAAATTCTACTTTTTCTTCTTTTTGCAGGTCCAAAATAATGTATAATCATTTTCCTTAGTTATTTTAAGCTATGGGTCAGGGACTTTTCAACATCCCTAGTAGGAAGGTTGTTTAACATATTGGGTTTTACATAAAGGAATAGGAATTGGAAAGAAATAACAGTGATTTTCTAGAGGTATAAGTGTCATGTAGGAGCCTACTGCCCCATGAAAGTCTTTAAAGTTTTTCTCATGGAGTATCATTCAAGTGAGTCTGTTTTTTTCTGTTTCTTGGAGGTTTGGGGAGTGTGGTTCTTTGGTTGGTTGGTTTGGTTTGGCTTAAGTGTTACATATGTATGTAAAATGCAATTTCTAAGGCCTGGAGAAATCATGATTTTTCCAGATGTGCTTGCGGCCTGTAGAACATCTTCAAAACAAAGAGTGTCTGTAAGACAAGAGAGGATATTTGTGCATGAAACGTGATATTAAAGGTTGGACCAAATCTTTCAGTCTTTTACTCAGGCAAGACTCCCACTAGAATCAGTAGGAATTCTGTCTAGTAAATGAGTGTGATAAATCCTGTTGTCTGTTGATCTGTGTTAAAGACACAGCACAAGTGATGATCAAACTTCTTGTCGTTGGTTTAAAATGTGCCTTTAATATAATTTTATCCTTCCTACCGTAAGCAGGGAAAGTACTAAAGTTAATATGAGCATATTACTGTGTCCAGGTGAATTAGCTTTCGAGGAGATGAAACACATGAAACTAAATAATTTGGCTTTGCACAGGTTATAGCTGTGAGGCAGGGGAATTACACAAGGTTGGGTATTTTTGCCATTCTTAGATTTATTTTTCTTCACATGTAAAATATGATTTTCGTCTGGTTGTGCAGATTTTGAGCTGTTCAAGTCCTCCTGTGGGCATTCTCTCCTGAACAATCATCAAACAGAGAAATTGTAATTAAAGCCAAGTTTTTTGAAAGTGGCAGGTGCCTTTGAAATGTCTGAATTCTGCAACGACCAACTTTCGACGTTGTTGAACACAGGCCATTTCTCCCCTTTTCCTAATGGAAAGATGGGGGCAATGCTCTAAAAGTCACATCTCATTAGCGTTCTTTCTTGAAACTGAAGCATCCAAAAATTATGATTACTTATGGAACATCTAGCCAAGTAATTAGTTGAAATTACTGTCTTTAATTATCAATAATGACGAGGGGCTTTTTTGTATATTTACTTTTGTTCAGTACTTAAAATTATTTGTTTTCCTTATAAGAGTACAACTCCTCCTAAACCATAATATGTCATTTGTCTCACAGAGCAGGTTATTTTTTGTTAGGAAGTTCTTTTCCCCTGCAAAAGTGTGTGGTTGTTTTGAACTTAGATGTACATCTGGAGATCAGATAGGGTAACGATTTACAGGGTGTGAAAAATTCAAAAAATTTAACGTCCTTTTGCAAGGAGAAAAACTTTTTGAAGCGACATTTTAATTTTTGCAACAAAGTAAGCAATTTTGCCACTGCCTTGCCATTTTGAATTGTGCTTTCTTTATGTCAGGGTGCACTAAACAACGTGCTTTTAACTGGAGCTCTCCAGACTGCTTTTCCTTTTTAAAGAGCGTAGGCAACTAATCGGCAGCATCCAGCCACATAGCTGGAGTGTTTTCCATTCTAGGCAATATCATACTAATTTGATGCACACATGGATGCTTCACACAATCTGCAAATTCATCGCTGGCATCTTGCATTAGTCATCTGACAGATTGCCAAGTGTTTCATATTCCTTTCATGTGACTTTATTACAAAACACACACACACACGCACTGCCTTATTTCTGCCAGTAGCCAGTTTAGTGAGAATTCACTGCAGTTCTGTTTACAACAGCCATGGAGAGAAATCTGCACTTATTTGCAACTACACTGTGCTTTAAAATGCAAAAGTCCCGGTTTGCACTGTGCCACTCTCTTCTTATATAATGACATTAAGCAGCAGCCTGCAGAACTCAATGAAAAATGTAATCGCATTGTTTTTTGCTCATAATACTTATGCTATTAATTAAATACTGATTTTTTTTTTTCCTGCTTTGTGCCAATTGACATCATCTTCTGCATCTAGTGCACATGAAAACTGCGTAGTCTCCTAACTTGCCTTCTCTTTTTAATCTCCTTTTCTACTTTCTAGTAACGGCACAGCTAACAAGATGAATGGAGCTTTGGATCATTCAGACCAACCAGACCCAGATGCCATTAAGATGTTTGTTGGACAGATTCCCCGTTCATGGTCGGAAAAAGAGTTAAAAGAACTTTTTGAGCCTTATGGAGCTGTCTACCAGATTAATGTTCTCCGAGACAGAAGTCAGAACCCTCCCCAAAGTAAAGGTACAGTAGTTGTGCTCTCTGTGCTTTCAGTTCAGTTGTTTTTTTTTTTTTTCCAATGATCTTGCTTGCCTTCAGGTTTTCCAAAGAGGTTTTCATCTGGGCTGACTGTTTGGAAGCATACTGTATTGAGCTATGCAGCATTCCTAAGAGAAGAGGGCTTCTGAATACCTATCGATTACCGTCTTCCTCCTTTTCTTAAATTGCAGTTTAAATGTCTGTTATCTGGAAGTGTGCATTCCAACTGTGCAAAAAATAGCAAAAGATTGCTGTCCTTGTTTAAATTATTATTGCCAAGAAACATGGAATGCTGAGCGGTCACTTTCCCAGGATTAGCTCATGAAAAATATAATTTTCTACTTCCTTTTGTTTCCGCTCTTTGCGCTCCAGGTGGGAATCATTTTAAGAATACAAAAGGGGAGAAATGATAGTAGTGGGCTTTTGCTAAGTCATTGCTCCAGAGGCAATAAAAATTACAAAATAGAGTTTCCTTGCCCTTTTTCCAAAATCTTCTTTCTTTTCTGCAGTCATGTTAAAAGATTGGGTTTTGATGCTGGTATTTTTCTAAAAGAAAGAGTTGGTTTTCCTTCCTGCATTTTTTCTATACACATGTAAAATATTTGTCCTTAACTAGATTGCTTTTTTTCACTGTATCTCTATGCATATTTAGGCGCTTGAGAATTCTCTGTATTATAGCTTTCTAAGTATAACATATGCTTACATGTAGACTGACTGAAAATGAGTATCTTGTCTCACAGAATGCATTTTTCTCCTTAAATAGTCGTATACTTTCATTTATACTTCAGGTTAGGTATATGAAAGTGTTGCTAGCATTACAAATAGTACAGCTCAGAGACATAACTAGATATGCATGTGTGCCTGGCTGTAAGGTTACCAGATAGTTATTCATTCTTACTGCACTCCTGCCACTGCTTCTAAAAACCCTTAAAGTGCGCACAGTACGGAGAATATCATAAAATGATTTTGCGGACTAGCAGCTAACTTACAGTGCAAAACAGCACTCACTTGAGCTTTCCAGCCCAGTGAGAGGTGACTGCTGTTGCGCGAGGCACATAGCCCAAGTTTGGGTGCTCCTGTGCATCTGTGCAAAGCACTGCCAAGGATCAGCATTTCCTCGATGCCCTGGTATGGGACAGAGGATCCTCTCACTGGCCTCTTCTTTGCTGACACAATTTAAATAGTCTTGTCCTTTGAGTGATACTAGTTCATTTTGTGTTGTTTGCATAGATCACTTCTGGTTAAAATATTTGGTGCATTGGTGTCACATCAATGTCAGGGAGGGGGTTCATCTCACCATACCTTCTGGTAATCAAGTCCCTGTACTACATTGCACTTTCCCTTCAGAAGCAGAAGGTGGTTTTGGTTGGAGTATTCCAGTGCAGTTCTACTTCCAGCTCCCTCCATTCCCCGGGATGGATGTATTGTAGTGTATAGTCCCCTGCTGTCATAGCACAGAGCCTTCATCAAGTGTCTTTTTCTTGTAATACTGGATAGAAGACAGCATTAAGAGGTCAAGCAACTGGATTTTCTGCAGTCCAGGCTGCTATGGATGAGCAAACTCCTACTTAGTTTAAACCACTAAAATGCTGAACTTTGAGACTCGCCCATTTAGAAAGAGCTGATTCGCAGACCACAGAAATGCCTTCCCACTAAGCAGTAAATGAAGTGAGAATGATATTGTGGTTAGACAGAAGAAGGCCATTGATTCCCGTTTCTGTAGTGTTTTCCATTATACTGTACCTGTCTGTCAGGCAGCTGGAAGGCATAAAGCTTAAGTACAGGTCATGCAAATCATTGTAGACTAATTATGAAGGCTTGTAGTCCCCCATATTCAATATTCTTTTTAAAAGGTGGTTGGTTTGGGTTGTTTTTTTTTTTTTTCTTGGTCTCTTTTCAGCAATGCAGACATGATGCTTTTATGTCACTTCAGGCATTATATTTTTTAGTGAGTAAATGAAGTTAATCCTCAAGAAAGACAGAATAGCCTTCAGACTTACACTTCCCTGACACAACAGCAAGCTCCACTGGTGGTCAGCTTTTCCCTTGGAAGCTTTGGAGGAGTGTCTCAGCCTCTCCTGGCTGAGTCTGCCAGCAAGGTTGCTACATATAGAAACCTCTTGAGTTTCTTGTGGATATCTCTTGACCAGGAATTATCTTTATTTACTTAATCCCGTAGCACAAAGGATTCTGTGTGAGATATTGTTAGGAATATTAGAAACAAACAAAAAAATTGCCCTGAAAAATGTCTAGTAATCTTGTTATCATGATGCATGAGAAATAATTCACCTGTGCTATCTAATTGGCATTTAAAAACGAAGCTGATTTTTGACTTTTTTGTTCAGAGGTGTGGTCAAATTCCATGCTTTCCTTCTGTGTAAACACCCACACAAAACAATAATTTTTATTTTATTTCAGCTGGGTGGATTGGGGTGATGCCAGGCATTTTCCTGCCTGTTGCCTCTGCATCACCTCTAGTTTTGCAGAACAGTGCATCAAGGGGATCTTGAGGTCAGGTGATGCTGGAAAAGTCCATTTTTCATTTCATTGCATGGTCATGGCTGTGTGTTGTGAAGAACATTTGCAGCTGATATCACCCAGAAATTTTCTCTGAATATCCTGTAAGCCGTGAATTACAACAACAAAAATGCAAGTTAGTGTTACTACACCATGCAGGGGGGTGACGGTTTGGTTTTGTTCTCTGAAGAAAGGGATTTTGATTTTTGAAAGATTTCTCTCTTACAAGACAAGGACTGTGTTTTTCTACTAGCTTGGCCAAAGGGGCTTCTCCAATTTGAACAGAATATTTCTCTGATGAACTGTTTATGAAGCTGCAGTCTGAGTCTCTCCCAATTCTGTCAAAAATAACCATAGGCTGCTTCTCTCTCTCCTGCTGTTATTAAGACTGTCTTTCATACCCTCCAACGACAGACGGCCTAGTTCATGTCTTTCCTCCTTTTTTGTATTGCTTGCCAGCTCAGTAAAGCTGGAGCTGGAGGAAAAGGAGGAAAACCAGGTTTTACTCACTTTGGAAAACTAGAGGAAGGACATCTTACTTCCACAGAGATATTGCTGCTAGTGCAAATGTTGAAGCTTGGCTTTATTATTTGGGAGCTACAGGAATGGCTGCATTTCAATGGGTGGTGGTTGGAATATCCTCTGTCAGTAGAAAACTCCTCATGTTTTCCAGAGTTTGCAGTTCTCTGGTTCTTTTAGGATGTGTCAAAGAGCTCAGCAAAGTAATTTGACTTTGTGTTTATCCCCTGTTGTTTTGTAAGGCTTCTTCCTCTTTTTGCACCAAAAGAAATCTGGGGGATTTGGGGATTAGGTAAACCAAATAAATAAAAAAAAAAATTAAAAAAAAAAAAAAAAAAGGCAAAAATGGCAGGAAATCCTGTAACACTAAAATAAATGACACTTTCAGCTTCTGGGGGCTAAGGGGATTCAAAATCTAGGCAGATCAGCACTCTGTTCTCAATCCAGCTTGCTTCATTTATATAATTTATTCTGGGTAGATAGATGACTTTTTTTCAGAGTAGTTGTTAAATAGAGCTTCTGTAATACCTCAGATACAGTGAGCTCTATGCAAAGGCGGTATACGCTGCCACAGAGATCTCTCTTCTTCTCCACTGTCCTCCTAAGCCAAAAAGATTTCCTTGGCTGCTTTTGTTTCAGAGTCCAAGTGTTGAAGCAAGCAGATGGCACAGAGCTACTTTTACCTTTTGAAATGCAGCAGAAGAGCATTGGTCCAGATCCACAACATCATTTCAGTACCTCACCCCTGTTTCAATACCTGTTAATTCTTGTAGGGATCAAGGTCCCCTAAATCAGCTTTATGAGCCTGAGCCTGCTTCTGCTACCATAGGAATCGCGTTGCAGAAAGCAGGGGAGAGGCCCCTGTGTAACAACTAACTCCGTGTTTCCTTATAGCCTTTTACAGACCCTTTATCAGATTAGAGGGAGGCTGCTGAGTGAACAAGGATCTGCTGTAGTTAAAGGCCAGTGTTTATTATTATCCTATTTAACATGGTAATTTAAGTCTACTGGGAAGCAAGCAGAGGAATCTGATAATGAGGCATTCATCTGCTGCATACAGGAGAGACTGGATGGGCAAGGCATATAGGAGGCAGAAGTTATGTGGCTTGTTTGGGTACCATCCTGGCTGCAGTTTAGCCCTTCAGAAATACTCCTGTGCAGGCAAGAGGATCAGTCCCTCCACTCCAGCAGGTCCCTGCTCACAGTGCCCCATATTCTGTGCAGTGGGAGGAGAAAATGAAACGTGGGCAGTCCTGCACAGGAGCAGAGCTGTGGCATTCCGCTTGTGACACAAAACCCATCCTGACTGTCCTAATCAGCAGCAAAGACCAACTGTTCCTTGCCTGTCCTTGCAACACCGTCCAGCTGATTGCACACTCTGCTCCTTGAAGCAATTTCAATGCACTGAGTTTTGCAAAACTAGTTTAGATGCTCCTTAAAAGCTCGCTTCAGCCAGCGCTCCAGGAGTCAGGGTTTCTCTGGACGTTTTGACTTATTTTGTGTTTTGAATGCTCTCATAGGCCCACATGAACATTATTTAGCTTTTGAGATCGGATGAGTTGCGTCATGAGCACATATGCTGTGGAAACTGCAGGACATGGGACCACAGCCATTATGCATGTATGTTTTAAACTAAATTTTAGTGATCGTGGCTGAGAGATATTCTGTTACAATCACAGAGTTGAAATCTTATGTGCACGAATGAAAAAGCATCTTCACGTTTTTTTTAGCAGGTCCTTTATGCACTATATGAAGTTTCACACAGTAAAGACTGGCAAAAGCCAGATGTTGCCTTTAGATACAAGTACAGCAGGGAGGGAGAGTGAATAATAAAGTTGAGTTTTTAACTTTCAGTTTCTGACTAAGATGTTTAAATTTACACCTTAAAGAACCTTAATTCTACCATTTTATATGGATTCTAAGTAGCAGTATAAAATATATTGTAAATG